CCTAACCCTAAACCTAACCCTAAACCTAACCCTAAACCTAACCCTTACCTTAAGATGAATCGGCTTGCTTTCAAAGTGCTATTTAAAGCGCCCTTCTTTCTCCGCGCTGCCTGTTGTCGCCCTGTTGATGACGTCAGCGACGCGGTTTAATCGGGTGCGGCTTAGTTGAGCACGGTTTTGACGGGTCACGAGGCAAGAGGTGGTATTCAGCAGGTTCTGACCAGTTGTGGAGAACCAGTAGCAGAAATTTTGAGTAGTTTGGAGAACTGGCAAATACCACCTCTGATTGGCCCTGCCTCATCTATTCTCTGCCTCCCAAGTCCTAGCTGATCGGGAGGGAATGGGGATTTTGCAGTAACCTTCCCCCGGAGTGGGGAGGGAATGGAGATTTTACAGTATCCTTCCCCTGCCATGCCCACCAAGCCATGCCCACATAACCAGTAATAAAAAAGTTTAAATCTCACCACTGGGTCTGTCATAGCATGTGAATAAGATGTTGCTTAATTCCATGGCTTGAAGAGGATATTTTCATTGAGATTCTTAGTGAATGTTGCTGGTCCTTGTAACTCTGAACTTCCAGGCTTTTTCTCTGTAGACATTGTAAGTGACTGAGCTGTAAAATTGCTTATCAGGCTTTGTAGAAAGAGACTGGAGTGCAGAATTTGAATGTCTTCCAGATTTTCTACCACTATTCTCTTGCTCGGCGGATGCTGTCAGTTCTTGCTAATAGTATAGCTTATTGGCCACCATTAATAATTATATAAATTCTGTACTTTGTAGATTTATGTAAGCTGTTTTTCTGGGGGGGGAAAAAGGCCTTTCCTTTATAATTGGTTCTTACTGCATTGAGTAATTCTTTTTGCTGGCATGAAATTGGTGCTAAACTTTGTTGTAAGATGGCTTTTATATTTTAAAAGCACAATATGAGTGCAGTAAAACCTAGGCATTGACGTTTATTTGATTCCCTTTTCAATCTGTCTTGCAAGCAGAAACCTGCGAGTAGAAAGCATATCGCAAAAAGTGGAAGGGCTCCTTTTTATGTGGATTAAATACATTCAAAAATGTATTTGAAAAAGGGTCTTTCAAAGGTCATCTGAATATTCACAGCTTGATTTATTAATCTATTGCGTTTCAGGTTCAACAGATAGATCGTGTAGTGGAAGTTGTTGAGGAAACTATTAAGGGTAAGTTATTCAGCTGAAATAATGCACACATTCATTCTTCTCACTGCTCATTCCTGATGTTGCTTTGATCACATACAGTATATCCCTAAGGAACCTCCTGTCGAAATATACCCCATACACATTCCAAATACTGACTGAAATGTAAATATTTAGCAAGTGCCACATACATCACAAAAAAAATATACAGAAAGCTGACCCAAATTAATATAGATCACCCTAGCTGGCTTGCTCAGTAATTGGTTTTTTAATATTTAATACTTTTTTAAAAATTTGAATTTCAGTGTTCCTTTTTATATTATACAGATCACTATGTATTTCAGACAAATCAATGTTCATTTGCTGCAGTATTTAATCGCATCAGATGTCAAGTGTTGCATCAGAGATACTGGGTTTTTAGAATACCGAAAAACGTGGTACGAATTTTATAAAGCATAAAGTGCCTTTATATTCTTAGTTCGTATAGCTTGTAAAGAAGACTCACAAGACATCATTTGAATAGAGAAAATATTAAAATGTTCCTATACTGAAAATAACTGGTTTGGCCAACTTAAACATTAAGTGATCCGTTTTATTAAAGCTCTCACTGAAACCAGCTTCTTAATGGCAGCTGACCTCACTTGCATCCTGTTTGTCATTTGGATCCAATTGTTATAAAATCTTAACTTCCAATAAAATCTATGCAAACTTTGCCAAGATCATTAAACCATATTGTAACAATTCACCTTTGGGATGATGGTCAGAAGATGTTAGATAAAAATATTAAATTTGGGTTTTGGCAGTATACATATAGTCCATATAAGATAAACATACAGAAAGAGAGAAAAATATGGAATTACTTATGAGAGACTGTAAGTGACGTTGAGGTTTTATGAAATAAGAGAGGGGTCTAGTGAAAATGACTTTGTGCAGAATGCACACAAAACGATTGTATATTTGAGAGAATATAGGTATTTGCAACATCTATACAGAGTCCTTTAAGCCTTCCTTCCAGAAAAGTATCTTCTACGGCCTTTAAAAACGGAATGTAAATCAGAGATACAGGATTTTAAATTTCATAATTATAGCCAAGTTAGCAGAATGTAATGCAATGAAAGGATGGCGTAAAAGCAGCAAAGTCTTTTATTGGATAACCATTTGTCTGAAATGGTACAAGAATTTCGTGTTTGAGCAAGGGCTAGAAAACTGCAAGGTGCCTTCCAACTCTGTTATTCTATTATTAAAAGATAACTTCAGATGCCCATCATTGCTCTGAGGGGAACAAAGAGGAAAGAGAAGAGTGGGAAAAGAAAAAGATGAAAGATGGCAAATACAACGGGAAAGAGGAATAGAGCAAACTAATTCTGAACCCATGGCTGTAGCTTCATAACTGGCCTTAATGATACCTCCTAGATCCACCTCCAAATTAGACATACATACATATATAAAGTGGGGGGGGGGGAGATGAGTGTAAATCCACTGTTAAATAATTTTTGTGTGCATGTGTGTAAACTGCTTCTATTATCTAAAGTCAAATTTCTGCATTTTCTGTGGTCCCCATGAAGGAACTACTTCTATGAGAGCTCATCTAACATTTAACACTGCTACATAAAATGTTGCTTTTTTGGAGCTTACCAAAGTGTATCTCTCAGTGTCTCTCACTATTAGCCAGTGGTGGGTTTCAAAAATTGTTCGAGCCTACTCTGTGGGTGTGGCCTCCTTTGTAGGAGTGGCTTGCTGCCCATGTGATCGGATGGGAGTGGCTTGCCGCCCATGTGACCAGATATGAAGATGCCGACGACAATTGTCAGAACCACCTTAAATTACCTCGCACACCGCACTGGCATGCATAAGAATATGATGTAAACTTGTTTTTTAAAGGCATCTTTGGTTTGCGTTAAAACAACTTCAACACACGCAATGTTCTGATTGCGCCACAAACGCAGTAGTCATCCTTACCTTTCACAGAGGCACTGAGTTTTATAAATATGAGCATGATAGTGTAGAATAATCATATCCAAGGACCAGTGGTGGGTTTCAAAAAATTGTGGAGCCTCTTCTGTAGGTGTGGCCTGCTTTCCGGGTCCACTGGTGGAACCTCTTCTAACTGGTTCAGTAGATTTGACGAACCGGTTCTACCGAATAGGTGCGAACTGGTAGGAACCCACCTCTGCTATTAGCCATGCTATGTAGACTGCTGGGGGTACGGCAACAATGATTTTGGACTCCAGCGTGGTAGGAGACTAGATAGTAGCAACCAAATATTCTTGGCATCTTTCACTCTTCCCATTACTCTTAGACATGTCAGAAATTGGGTAATATGGCATAACTCACAGCCACTCAGTTTCCATGCTCTTTTTTGAAATATATAGATAATAATGGTGGACTCCATCTACAAAAAAATAGTATGATTTTTTAAAAGTTACATATGTTGAGCTTTATCGTTTAGAATTACGACTTGTGAGTGGATTGTAGACTTTAACATCTGGCTGACCAATTATTGTAGCAGGCTGAATTGGGAGGAGGAAAGTGTAGAAATGCACCAGACATGTATTCCTCAGGGCAACTGTTGCTTGTCTACAGAAACCCTTCTCTGTCCAATTCAACATTTCCTTGATAGGCGAAGGAGGAGTTTAGCATTCTTGCTCTAATATTTATTCCTTCTCCTATGAAACAAAATCAAGTTTTACAGCTTGCATTGCATGGAATTTAGAATGCACATCTTATATGCCCATCTCCTGGATTTATGAAACAGAGTGGACATTAGAAATATAATCCTACCTTAAACTGATTTTTACAGTATTCGTAAAAAAAAAAAAAATTGTGCCTGTGCTCTTGCTATTTTAATGCTGTGAATATTATCTAACTTGAACACTTTTCTTGACATCATAAAGCTTCTTGCAAAACGTCAAAACAGCTGCATTTTGTCAAGTGTATCCATATTGGATTAAGAGAAGACTAGACTTTCCGGTTGAATAAAACCTACACTGGTCCTGAGTTTCACAGAAGATTTTGTGAAATGGGTCACTGGACAGGATTACTGTAAACAAGTAAAAGGAAATTACTTCAGTTTTGAACTTTTTCAGACTTCGTCTCACCCCTCTAAATCTCAATCACATTAACCTGTCTGGTTAATATGGTCTATCTGTTCCTAGTTTAAATATTAACTAATATTTGCCAACTGTTTAGCTACCATACCAATCAATCTGTTGTTATTGGTGGGCCACTAAAAGCTCACAAGATGATCTGTGTGTACATTGTGTAGGCTAAAGTAGAGAATGTTTATTGACAACATGTCTGTCGGTCTAGACACCAGCCTAAGCACAAAAGAGCTCTCCTGAATTCTCCTTGAACCATATTAAATGTGACATTTTCCCTCTCCATAAGTTCACTGCCCTTCTGGGGTGGGAAAAAGTCATCAATTTGTGAGAAACATACAGATATTTCTTTTGTACACACTGGATGGCTGACTGCAGTTTCCTAGTGCTATGTACCCAGAGCAGAAAATATTTTACTATCGCTGCTGATATTTCTTCAGATGTGATCATAAAATCTGCGTAAATAAAACATTATAAATTCAACATCCTTACTTTCTGGGCTTCTTTAGTCATATAACTAAAGCAGTGGTTCCCAAACTTGGCAACTTTAAGACCTGTGGACTTCAATTCCCAGAATTCTCCAGCTAGCAGAGCAGAGCTGGCTGGAGAATTCTGGGAGTTGAAGTCCACAAGTCTTAAAGTTGCCAAGTTTGGGAACCACTGAACTAAAGGATACTTTAATTCTGTGCGTGGTATTACTTTTTTTGTAACAGCATGGATGTAGATTAGCACGGTGCTAATTAACAGTGCTAATTACTCATCAGTGTTGCAAGTCATCATAAGAAGGGAACGTGCAGCTATTCAGGAAGAGACACAGCTTGTTTGAGGAGCTGTTGACAGGTATACCAAATACCCATGCTGGATCTGAAGCACCTTTCCCATTTCCAATCTAAACAAAGGCACATGAATCACAGGAAATTAAGCTGCCTGATGAGAGTTAAACTAATAGAATAAACTTGAAAAAAAAAGTGTTAAAAGTCTTGAAAATGTTGTATTAGAACTTACCACTAAACTGGAAATTTTAACTTGGAAAAGTAGAATAAATGTGTATTTGTAGTTAAGATTAAGCCATAGTTGTTTAAATGTAATTTGTTGAAAAACCCATATTGTTTTGGTTTACACAAAACTTGTGTAATCATGTGTGGGTTCCTGTGTCACATATATCAGTATAACTTGTATGATTTGGGTAATTGGAGAACAGCTAATGAATAACTGAATTCTTAATCTGGTAATATCTTTCATCAATAAAATGTTACTTTAAAATGCCTGCTATCCATAATGATATTCCCACCACTCAATTTGTAAATATTCCGATACTGAAGTTACATACATATCACCTGCGTTTTTCCATAGTATCTGAATATATTTTTAAAAAAATTATATATCACCATAATAAACTGAAATATGATAATGTATTTCCCATGTCATCAAGCTCTCAGTTCTCTGATAAATGAACCAAGAAACTACGACTGTTGACTTTTATTAAGCCATCATATTAAACCGCACTTCGAAATTAATAACCAGTTAAAACAATCCATTTCACTGAACTACTGCAGTAGTTTAATAATCTCTACAAAAATGTCAAAAATTTGGGTCCCATTATGTGATGTCTTGACTTACAACCACAATAACTTACAACTGTAATTTAGGCTCAGTTACAGTTCTAAGTTAAGGACAACCTATATGTGCAGATAGCAAATTATTATAGATTAGTATAAATTGTAATACAATTTACCGTATTTTTCACATTATAAGACGCACTTCCCCCCCCAACAGTGCGTTTTATAAAGTGAATATTGTGGTAGTGGGGGGGGGGGTTTAGTGCAGCGCCAGCAGGGAATGCTGCAACCTTTGCTGCTGAGCACCTGATTGGCAGCTGGATTGGCTTCCCAGAATACCGCCAATTAGTTGTTCTAAGCAGCAGGG